AAAAAAAAAACAAAGAAACACAAAACTCTCGTGACAGCCCCTCAATGGTTTGTAGTAACTTTGTACTCTTCCTACGACTACCGTCTTCCCCCAAATAGAACCACCGCTCATTATACGCTTTATAAGTTTATAGCCGTATTTAGTACACAACTTCCTGTCTTGTCTTGATACACCAATATTGTCCGGCCGTTCTATTCGCAGGTGAAGATGGTAGTCATTGATTGCATTCACCAGTATCATGTATCAACGATCAGTTCTGGTACTCTTTTTTTTCCTTCTCGTTTTTTTCTTTAAAAAAAAAAAAACTTCTGTTACGTTACTTGGTGAGCGATATCTCTCAGCTGCTGTTGGTGAAAAATGATTACAGTTGCTTTACTCCAATCAGCACTTTACAAGTCAGGAGTGTATACATCACGGATCAAAATGATTATGTTCAATTGATTTTCTTTTTTCCTGTAATTAGAAAAAAAAACTAGTGATTGGGGGGGGAGGGGGGGGGGGGCATCGTCCATTACCATCTTCCCCCGAATAGAAAGTACAGTCATTATTGCTGTATTTTGGGGGGATCTTAGATACAGCAATATTGAACGAACACTATTCTGGTATGGACGGCACCAATAAGGTAATCATTCCACAAAAGGTTTTTCTTTCCAGCTCACAGTCGAAGCAGAGGGACTCTATTCTGGTGAAGACGGCACCAATAAGGTAATCATTCCACAAAAGGTTTTTCTTTCCAGCTCACAGTCGAAGCAGAGGGGGAGGAAAAGGGACTAAGGAGGAAAAAGTCGGAAGAAAGCTCGGCTACGCACGGACAGATGAATGGACAGATTGATTGATTGATTGATTGATTGATTGATTGATTGATCTATGGAACTATTGATTGATTGCTTGATTGCTTGATTGCTTGCTTGCTTGCTTGCTTGATTGATTGATTGATTGATTGATTGATTGACTAAGGAGAGAAAGGGAGGAAAGAAGGCTTGGCACGGACAGACCAATGGACTGATTGATTGATCGGCAACCTATTGGTTGGTTGATTGATTGATTGATTGAGTGAGTGATTGAGTGATTGAGTGATTGAGTGATTGATTTTGATTAACTAATTGACTGATTGATTGACTGACGGATTGGATTAGATTGGCTGGGACTGGATGAGAGGGGGTTGGATCAGGACGGAATGGAGATGGATCACAACTGAACGGGAATCGCCCCACTGACTAGGGATAGGGATTGGATAAGAGGATTGGATGGCGGGGAGGATTGGGGACTGACGAAATTGCATGTTACCTGGGAACTGATTGGGGACGGATGAGATTAAATGGGAATTGGGGGGGTTAACAGCGAGGGATTGTGTGGAGCATGATGGGATGGGATAGATGAAACTGGTGGAATGGATCCGCTTGATTGGATCAGCTTGATGGATTGACTTGATTTGAATTGGATTGCACGAGTTTGATTTGATTTGATTTGATTTGATTTGATTTGATTTGATGACTAATGGGATTGGATTGGATTGGATTGGATTGGATTGGATTGGATTGAAACAAGTTTGACTTGATTTGATTTCATTTTATTTCATTTTATTTCATTTTATTTCATTTTATTTCATTTTATTTCATTTTATTTCATTTGATTTCAGTACTAATGGGCTCAACAGGGTCAATTTGTTTTTGGGATCGACTGACTGATCGACTGACTGATCGACTGACTGACTGATTGACTGACTGATTGAAACAAGGTCATTTTTTGGGGGGGATCGACTGACTGATTGACTTCTTGCATTGGATTGGATTGGACTCAGGGATTCAATGTGGATTGAATGTGGGTTGGATTTGGATTCAAACTCGATTTGATTTTATTCTTGCATTGGATTGGATTGGACACAGTGATTGGATTTGATTCGATTCGATGTGGATTGAATGTGGCTTGGATTTGGATTGGATTTGGATTGGATTTCAGTTCATTTCATGTCTTATCACTACTAATGGTCTCAATAGGGCCACTGTTTTGGATCCCCTGACTCATTGACTTGATTTGGATTGGATTGGGTTGGATTGGATTGGATTGGATTGGATTGGATTGGATTGGATTTGGACTTGATTTGGACGTGATTTGGACATGATTTGGACGTGATTTGGACGTGGATTTCGACTTGATTTGGACTTGATTTGGACATGATTTGGACGTGATTTGGATGTGATTTGGATGTGATTTGGATTGGATTTCACTTCATTTCTTATCACCACGAATGGTCTGAATGGGGCCACTTTTTAATCCATCGACTGAGTGATCTGACCTGATTTTGGATAGGATTGGATTGGATTTAGATTTGATTTCGATTTGATTTCGATTTGATTTCGATTTGATTTTGGATTGGATTGGATTTAGATTTGGATTTGGATTTGGATTTGGATTTGGATTTTCCTTCCATTTCGATTTTTTATTACTAGTGATGGTGTCAACAGGACCCACTTTGACTTTGGGTCCCCACCACATACACATACCTTTCTCAATTTCGGCAGGGCCCTCCGCAACCCCGTTTTCGTAGCGCCAGAGTCGATACCTCTCCTCCCCCACCTCCTTGTCTGCGTCCGCTGACGGAGCTGGAGCGCACACCACACACATGTCATGCACATCACAACAATGAATGAGCTCGAGGGAACATTCTCAATCCTTTCCTCTCACACTGAGCGGCACTGATCATGACAAATCAATCCCATGCACAGGTTAGATCTGACGTCTGACATTGCTTGCAAGATTCATCAGGGAGGGTGCCACACTGAAAATCTACCTACTAAAGAGACTAAACAAAAAAAGAGCACGTATATATAAAATGATATTAAAATCTATATAACATCTGTTTGACAATACATATTGTATAGTATGTATGCTACATTATATACACACATATTATATAATATTATATACATGTAGGCAGAGAGGGAGAACAGGACAAGAAATGAGGGGCTGTGACAAACTGTTTCATCGGAGTTTCACCGACTGACTCATCAGGAGGCTCAACAGTCTGCAGAATCCCCTAACTGACTGATTACACTGTAAGTGACAATCCACCTTAACCCCGGTTGTGGTTAAGCATCAACGACTGCCCGACAACTGATACCTTGAGGTCGGCACCAACCACTGCCCTCAAGGTACCCATGACAAAGATCAAAGCAGACTAACACTCACCCACACCAGATGGAAAACTCTACAGATTGTCGGTTCACACCCCATCACAAGCCAGCAAAACGCCCACGAAACAAAGAAAGGTCTGTCCCAGCCAAAAAAAGCACTCTAGACACGCCGCTGGCACTTAAAGGCATATACTACATAACGATATACGTGTATATCGTCATATCGTCAAACAGAACTTGCCGGTAAACCGTAGGGGCTGTGGCAGACTGTTTCGTCGGAGTTTCACCAACTCATCAGAGGTTGTACATAACAATATATCTATATATATTGTCACACTGTGAATCGGAGCGCAAAGGCGGAAAAAGACAGAACAAGAAAAAGAAAAAGGAAGGAATGAAGGAAAGCCCCACCTGTTCATCACCTCTTACGTACAAGGCCAGCCACGTGGATGACAGGTTGAGCGCTGGCTGGCCCCATCCCCGTGTGTCACAAAGACCCACTTGCACGCAGCCAAAAGGCAAAGAGGTAAAGAAAAGGCAGAGGAAACCAAACCTCACAGAAGAAGAAAGCCTATTAAACAGACAAAACAAATGACACATCCCACAGATAATCCAATTACCATCCCACAGAACATATTTTTCTTTTCCCTTTTTTGTTTTTTGTTTTTTGTTTTTTCTTTTTTCTTTTTTCTTTTTTCTTTTTTCTCAGGTTTCTTTTTTTGTCTTTTTCCGTGGTTTCTTTCTTTCTTTCTTTATTTATTTATTTATCTTTTTACTTGGTTTCTTTTTTTATCTGTTTCTTCTAAACTTTATCTGTTACCCCCTCGGCAGATGGGACAACTACGGTGAGGCTGGCGGGGATGTTCACAGGGATGCCCAAGGAGGGTTGCACTAGCACAGCATTCAGCCGGACGGCTAGCACGAACCATCACATCGAAACAATCCTGACAGAGGACATGTTGCCCAAATGTCAAGAAGACAGCAGGACGTTCGTCACAGTGCGGCATCATGCAGCTCTGATAACGTCCTTCGGAACAGAAAGGACAACGTACATCTGGATGATAGGGATGTGCACAATGAGGAAATGTTAGACACCCTTCCGCACATACGGCGGCAGTCGCAAAGATTGATAATGGTGCTGACACAGATAATGCATTTCACAACCAAGACGCACCCCGTCCCTATCCCGACAAATGTCGCACGAGAGACGCTCAACAATCCAGAATAGTGTATGATTCGACAAACCTCGCAAGAATTCATTTATGTTGACAATAACCTGAATTGTCACACTGTGAATCGGAGCGCAAAGGCGGAAAAAGACAAAACAAGAGAAGGAAAAGAAGTAAGGGAGGAGAGCCCCACCTGTTCGTCACCTCTTACGTACAAGGCCAGCCACGTGGATGACAGGTTGAGCGCTGGCTGCCCCCATCCCCGTGTGTCACAAGGACCCGCTTGCACGCAGCCAAAAGGCAAAAAAGAGGTAAAGAAAAGGAGGAGGAAACCAGACCTGACAGGGAAAGAAAGCCTATCAGTCAAACAAAGCAAATGACACATCCCACAGATAATCCAATTGCCACAAAGCAAATAACACAACCCACAGATCAACATATATATATTTTTTTCTTATTTTTTTATTTTCTTATTTTCTTATTTTTTCTTTTTTTCTCCGTATCTGTCGGTAGTGTCGAAGGCTTTATCTGTCCCCACCTCGGCAGATAGGACAGCTACGGTGAGGATGATGTGGATGTTCACAAGGATACCCAAGGACAGCTGCGCTAGTACAGCATTCAGCAGGACGGCTAGCACGAACCATCCCATCAAAACAGTCCTGACAGAGGACATGCTGTCCACATGTCAAAAAAACAGCAGGACGTTCATCACAGTGCGGCATCGTGCAGTTCTGATAGCGTCCTTGGGCACAAAAGGGACAACGTATATCTGGGTGATAGGGATGTGTACAATGAGGAAATGTTGGACACCCTTATATATATGTACGGATACATATATATGGATATGTACGCACGTGGGGAGCTTCGATGATGGCAATACCCACCTTCCCACGCCCCCGTGCCCCCCTGCAATACCGGTAGAGAGACGGTTTCGTCGAATTTTCACCGAATATTCGCCCGTAGGAGAAAACGACAAGAAATGAGGCAGGGCTGTAACAGACTGTTCCGTCGAAGTTTCGCCGAAGTTTCGCCCGGCAGGCTATAGACACGGTTGAATGTTGTCCTGGTTTGTGTTCTTCAGATGAGTCCCACGTGTACTCCCTTATCTTTTCTGCGCAATTTTTTTTTTTGGTTTTATCCATGCACAACTTTTCTATGTTCACATGTGCGTTGTATGTGCAGACGTGTCAGTTGCTGATTGATTTGGATTGATGGGATTCCTCTCCCCCCCCCCTCCCCGTCCCCCCCCCGGCCTTGGATAACCTCGCAAGGGGCCAATTGATTGACACGTGTACATACTTACGCCTCTCCTTTGCCGGGAAGATCCCTCTGAACCCCAGGGATCCCAACCGCGGATCCCTCACCCAGGTCCATCCTGTGGCCGTAGCCTTGGCAGACGCAACTCCAGCTGCATCGACCTCCGCTCCCCAACCGATGCTTCCCGCGATCTTCTTATCATCATCAGCACCACTCCCGCCAACCGACTTCAGCTTCCCGCCAAAACTTGCCCACACCGCAAAGTCATCAGAAACATCTTCGATTCCAACTTTAGCGCGCAATCTGTACCTGGACACATTTCACGACATCAGGAAGACCAATCCAAATGGTCAACACTAAGGTAGTGCCGGGGGGGGGGGGGGGGGGGGGGGGGGGGG